AGATAATCTCCTGCCTTTCAATTTTAGTCAGGCTAGCATAAAACGTTTTCGCGGCGTAACGATTCCAGACATAGGAATGCGTGACAAGCGCCACATATGATGATATCAATTTTGTGTACACATTGAAGACCACTCGATCGGATCAAGCGACTGAAGTATTAATGCGTTCTGGTGAAAGGGTTTCCTTTCCTTAATAATGTTCCATCGTGTATTGTAAACAGTCATAACAGAAAATAGGGATATTTCGTCGATCGGCTAAACTGATAAATCGCTTAAATCACGACACATTTTTCTGTGTCTATGTTTTTGGGCAATGCCTTTGTTGGTTTGAAAAGGTATTTTGTTTACAAGAAGTGGGAATTTTGCACAGAGCTGGGATGAAAATATGCATTTTTGAACCCTATCCCGCCTACAGCAAAGTGGGTCTAAAACAAAAAATGGTTAGTAGATATCAGTTTCTTTTGAAGGACCAAAATTGTGTGCTTTACTTCATTTAAGGACCAATTTAATCCTAGGAAGTGAGAAAATATCGGTGAATGTGAAAAACTTTGAAGTGGTGAACTCGACAATATGCGCTATTTTTACTCTTTGTCACTGCAAAAATTCGGTCAGTGTAAAACGCAGACTGCGGACTGTAGACTGCAGACTGCGGACCAGGGGTAAAATGCAGACTGAGTGTAAAATGCAGACTGCAGACTAAGAGTAAAACGCAGACTGGGGTAAAATGCAGACCTAGCATAAACTGTAGTCGTGGAAGGGTTTAAGGGCAAAAAAAATCCCGCAAATACCTGTAAACGAACACTTACTTGATGACATCTGCTTTCACAAATCCATTCCTTTCTTCTCTGGAACGTCGTCGACGACCCGAAAACATAATCGCAATCTTGAACCTTTTTTCTATCCGACAGACTTCACGCTTCAATTTTTGATGCGAAGTTTTCGATATACGTGACCAGGGACCGTGAACTGGTACAACACCACGATGTTTACGCTTAAATGAAAGCTGCTGACCCAAAATACTGTACAGGAATTATGGCGATAACAACTGGAGTAAGTCATTCCAACAACAAAGAAAGATATTCTGCAGGAAATTTGGATCAAGGTACGCAGACTTAAGCTGTTTGGATGTTCATTGAAACTTCTGGCGAATGTGCAATTCACTTCGACTCGGAAGCGAAGTGTGTAACTGATACCGGCTAGCTATTTCACCGATTTGAAGAAGAAGGAGCACAAATATTTAAAAAAGTCTGCAGTCTTTATTCTGCATTTTACCCCAGTCTGCGTTTACTCTTAGTCTGCAGTCTGCATTTTACACTCAGTCTGCATTTTACCCCTGGTCCGCAGTCTGCAGTCTGCAGTTCGCAGTCTGCGTTTTACACTGACAGGCAAAAATTTGGCCGCTGGGCGCTGAAGTGATTTTTCCCCCGAAAAATTTTATTTTGAAATATTTTCAAAGACTAGTGCGGTTTCAATTACTTTTGGACCAAGATGAATTCATGGGCAAAGTTTAAAGGAAACTGATTTTCCGACCCGAAACGCAGTGGACCGGTCAGTGAATATATAAGCTTCTGCCAAGTGTAACAGTATAAGGCCCGTTTCAAACGTCGTGCTACTGCCGTGCCGAACTCATTTGATCGAATTAAATTCGACTTTAGCACGGCATTGGCGCGACGTTTGAAACCAAGTCGTGCTACTGCCGTGTAGCACGGCAAAACTTGCCTTGCTACACGGCAGTATAGCTCGACTTGGTTTCAAAAGTCGTGCTACCGTCGTGCCGAACTCAATATTATTTATTCATAAATTACAAATACATTAGAATACATTTAAAGGTTTGCTGAACCGTTTCTTTATTGCTGTGTTTTGTTTTCGGCAACAGCTGTTGTATTTAACTGAATTAAATTCGACGTCTGAAACCAAGTCGTGCTAGTGTCGTTCTGCAGTCGAGCTACAGTCGAGCCACCTTAGCACGGCAGTAGCACGACGTTTGAAAAAGGCCTAAATCTCCACAATTAGTAGAAATACTGACCATTTTGACACTGGAATAAGTTCGTTGGTGAATGGAATCAGTTGAACAAATACAGGTGATTTAACTTACTTCTCTTCCAACATCTTTAATCGCTCCACCAGATCTTTCATATTCGTACCATTAGTGTCCATTTGTTGAACGGCACTCTGTTCGTGCATGACCTTGTTTTCAGCGCGACTTGTTTTCACAATGCCTGTTAGTACCAAGATTATCGCGAAGGCTAAAGGAGCACGATTCAAGGGCATGGTCTTGAACGGCTTTTCATAGGACGTTTTCGTTTCATCCCCCATTTTCCGAGACTATAACGGTAGTATCTCACCTGTGTGCAGACCTAGTAAATTTGAAACTGGACAGATTATATATGCAATTCATATTACATATTTAACACACAAAAGAACACAAACAAACAAACAAGTAAGTAGCACTGGGACTGCTTTTACCTGTTAATTTTACCACCTATTTTACGAGATTACAATAGAAATTGCCGAAAACATGATATTTTTGCTTGTTTTTATCGCTCAATGTAAAATCGTGAAAATATATTGCGCTGGATTTTTGAAGATGTTACCACCAAATAGACCTCTTCCGTCAAAAGTGGCCATTGTAAAAACTGAGAGTACTACCGTTGCTTTTTTTTTTGTCTCTGAGAATCTTTAACCTAGGCCTGCAGAATTACGTAATCACTTAGATTGATCTCTTTGGTTAAGGTAACGGCTTTTGTAAGGTGCAAATCCACTTGTAAACAGGCGCTAACACTTTATTTGGACGAAACAAACCGATCCGTACAACCAAGGATATATATACGTCGGACAAGACCAAGCAATCCGTACAAACAAGGGTATATATACGTTGTCAAGCGTTAAAACGTCGTTACTTCGTGTGAATCGCTCCAACTGATATCTCGAGTAACTCCGTACAACAACAAAAAAAACTCATCACGTGATCTAAGGGACCGGTCATTATTTATCACCTGGGGGGGGTCGGAGGATTTTGGGCTAAACACGATGAAATTTAGCCGATCCCCCCTTTAAATGTTATTTTATTGAAGTGATCCCCCCTCATAACTATATATAACTTTCGTGATCCCCCCCCCCCCCCAATGTCTTTGTGCCCATATTCACCTTTCGACGTGTATATTTAGTGTTTTAAACGTTCATATACAGGTAGTATTTCTAATTATGATGTACTTACAGCATAATAAAGCCGTTATCGCGCAGTCTTTTTTCAAAAGTGTCTCTTGATCCGTGTCTTTTTCTAGTCTGGATCCAGACATCTGAATTCAGTTGACATACAAGCAATCTTGCTTAAAACTGCAAAGTGCTTGAAACTGCAAAGTCACTTTTTTTAGAGTGCCAAATAGCAGTCCGCCAAGTCCCTATCAGCAGGTCATATTTAGCGACAATTCGGCCATCTGGAAGGGCTAGGATCGGCCACTGTTCCTGTCTCCTTTTTTATTTTCATCTATAGTGTAATAGATCAGCCTTTGTAGCTTTGCTCACATTTTTATAATTTTTTTTTGTTCGTTTTTTTGTTTGTTTTCTTTTTGTTTTCCTTTTTTTTTTTCATCCAGTGTTTGCTTGTACAGTAACTTCAGCTATTTAGTCATCTGGTACAAAAGTTAAAACTACCATACGAACAGTTGACTGTTCATCGAGATCAGCAATGACAAGATCATCTTCGCTATCCTCGTCATCATCTAACTCCGTATCTGATTCTTCACTCTCTTCCTCACTGTTGGACAACTCATTCCCGTTGCCTGGACTTCTCTGTCGATAGTAATGGTAGCGAATTGCCTTTATCTTGTCCAGCTTTATACTAACAGTGGTCCGGCCATATTCCTTAAGGTACAGGTCGAGCTGTCTCACCTTCAGCTTTTCAACTTTGCCATTCTCAATAAGTATGCCCCACTGGTATTCCTTGTATGTTAGTTCCTCTTCTAACCTTTTTTTCTCCTTAGCCTCTCTTGTTCTAATATCCTTCCTGATCTTGATATCATTTAGATGGCCTAGGTATTCAATGACATGCTTTTCCTCGACACAATAGGTTGCACAGAAAGCAGCGATGGTATTTGGATTGCCCGCAGAGATGGCGTTTTGTTCGTACAAGTCCTTCAGACATTTCCTCGGTTGATAATCGTCTGGAGCACGACCTGTTGTCGGCGTTTCGTACACATCCATAAAGTGCCCGGAATTTTGCTTGTCTGGCACAGGCTGAGGGATTCTTTCTGTTACTGGTCCCACTCATCTGTTGTTGGTACACCAGGAACAGAGTGTGGAGCTTGCATCGCTTTGCTTATTGCAGGCATCCCGACAAAATTCAAAAAAGAGCTCTCCTCGGACGTAGTGGTCGTCAATAAGACTCTCTATTTTACTAAGATATGCCGCACCGGGTATTTCGGCCTTGCTGTTTTCTGAAGCATTTCGGTACGTATTTAACTCAGAAAAAACAAACAAACACGCTTTTTACAATGTTTCAGTTATCAGAAGTTTATATAGTTCACAATTTATAATTCACCTGTCATGTTTAAAGATGAATATTAGCTAAGTCATGAGCACGTTATAAAAGGAAAAATATAAAAGCGTTAAAACAAAGCTTTCTCGATATAAATTGAAATGCACACATTCGCCAGTGTGACAGACTTCCGTTTTTTAAAGTTGTGTTAGAACAAATTGAGATTGCAAATGCTATCATCTCCCAGCAGAATGGGCGCATTTATGTTGTATGCTTTCAAACTGGCATTGTTCAAGCAGATTTGAGTGGTACCCCCTCTGAATCCTTCCAAAATTTTCAGTGATCCCCCCCTTTTGGGCTCTCAGTTACGACTGATCCCCGCCTCTGTTCTCCTAAAAATCAAGTGATCCCCCCCAAAATCCTCCGACCCCCCCCAGGTGATAAATAATGACCGGTCCCTTATTTTTTTAAATCATTTGTTGTTGATTGAAACACACTGTAGAAAGGACAGTCCTTAGATCCTTCACTTGGTGCAAACAGCGCAAGTCAACTCTCGACCTTGAACATATGGACCACACGGTAATGTGCCACAATGTTCCTCAACCGGGTACAACAATGCACCGTTCAGGTTCGCTTGGCTGCCAGGGATATACTCAGCATCTTTGTCAACGCAGATGAAATCTTTTTGACTCGGGTGATTATAATGTTCAGTCATCAGGTACCCATGATACTCCTCGGTCCATTCACTGGGACAGTCGTTCCGTGCTGGCATCATCAGCATCGAACCACGTGACTCGACAAAGCAGACGGCACAAGGTGCGTCGTGGTCATGGACATTTTCCTCAAAAGGGTTAAACAGTGACACTTCGTACTCAGCGCCGAACACATATGCTGTACCCTGATTGCCTGATTTGTATTTGTCGTACTTTGGAGTGTATGGAAGGCAAAGATAGTTTGCTCCGCCTCCACGGTGAGTATAATGCCCTCCACCTATTCTACCTAATAAGAAGTGAGAGGTAAATTAAATTTGACGTTTGAGAGATCATTTCTGGCTAAGCAATTAAAGGCTTCAAACAAGCTTTGCAGACGCTGTTCAAGTAGCGAAAAAAGCACTATTAAGGCTTAGTTTTTATCGTTTGTCTCACTTTTTGGTATTGATCGCGACGTTTCGACCGCACACTGCAGGTCTTCATCAGGCGATAGTGGCGATTTACTGAGTCGAACTATTTGTACCACCGTGGTTGTTAGAGATTGGTGTATCACAAACCTCGCTCATGGTTGGTGGGTTTCGATCCCACCATGACATTAAGACCATTAACATTGCGCGAGTGGATGCTATCCAGGGGCACCCAACGAGAATATAGTTCAAAACCACTTAAACATAGCATTGTTTAACTTAATTTAGTTGTTAAACGGTAGATATAGGCATATGTTTATCCCCTAATAATTTTTCATCTGTTCGGATTTTCCAGCTGAAAGTCTAGAGATCCGAAAATTATAGGGATCAAAACTTACCTTTTCGAAAATTTCAGCCAGAAGAAAGGCTCCCGAAAATTCTAGGCGACCTTTTAAGGATAAAAATCCGTTAAAAAGGGGCAATTATACCATTTTTAAGATTTTCGAAAATCCTAGGAGGCAGGCAAGAAAGAAATTTTACGACAAATGTTCCGAAAATTCTAGATCTCAAATAGTCTTCCGAACAGATATTTTCCAAAAATTGACGTTGGGTGCCCCTGGCTATTAAAGAGAAATTGAAGACAGCCAGTAATCCATATCCTCTCTCAAGCCTTGCCATCATTTCTTTAAGGATGGCCCAATGGACATACAGATGAAGCGTGGTGTTCGTCTTATAGAGAGTAAAAAAGAAGTATGTGAAGGTAGTGACCAACTCTAGGGGTTCGTTTTACCGAGGTGTCAATTTTATGGAGGTGTCCATTAAGAGAGAGTCGACTGTAATTCTTACCTGATCCAAGTTGACGCATATCACAGCTATTTCTTTTATGTCATATAATTTTAGTCAAATGAATGAAAGTAAGTTATTCTTAAAATGATCTCTTCTCTATGACATACATTTTGACGCAATTTATTAAATGAATAAATAAATATCCAACCTTACCACTGTACACCGTCGTAGCATTTCCAGAGCAGTTGGTCCTTCCCCAGCGAACGTATTTCACCCCAGACAGTCCCTTTCCCTTCTCTCCTTGTGGTCCGGGGGGACCCTGGGGGCCAACACTTCCAGTTTTACCAACATCTCCTGGGGAACATGAAAAGGATGAATGGATCATATTCTACTTATTACATTACATATGAATCCACATGTACAGGACTTCTTGGAAAGTACGCGAGTACGCTATTATGTTTACGCCGTGAGCTGTCATCTTGTTTGGCAAATCGACTATGGCATTTTTCACAGACCAATCATGGCGCGTACTCAAATCCTGGTACACAGCTGGGGGCTCAGAAAAAGAATTTCGGTGCTGTTTGGCAAACGGACTTAATCGGCAGAGTTTAGTTTCGTCAGCGGTGTAGGCTAGTGAGCGAGCGAACGAGTGAGATTTCTAATAAAATGAAATAACACATCTCCGGCGAACATTTAAACAGAGGATCTAACAAAGCTCAGGAGGCGAGGTTAGATATCCAGGTGCGTGGTTTCTGGGAGCGACATCGATCAGCGTCCATCGATGTGAGGGTCTGTCACCCTAATAATGTATCGTATAGGGACCTAGAGTCACAACAAATTTATCGTATCCATGACAACGAGAAAAAGCGTCTCTACTCAAAGAGGGTCCTGGACATTGAGCATGGAACATTTACACCTTTGTCTTCACCACAACAGGCGGAATGGGAAAGAAGTGCTTGATGTATCATAGCCGCTTGGCACAGCTGATTGCCATAAAAAAATGCGAGCAGTATGCCGAAACCATCTCATGGATCAGAACCAGAGCCTCATTCGCACTCTTGAGATCTGCGTTGGTTTGTCTTAGAGGCTCAGGACAAGAACAGTAGCACGTGACATTAAGAATGTTGATATTGACGTCGAAGATGTTGAAGGAGCTATTCAATCGAACTATTGATGTGTTTCCTTACTTTTAAATGGCAAATATTCGTCATTAACACGTTGTGAACGCTATTTAATTTTCCTCTTTTTAGTGTTTTTTTAGTGATTATCTTAGTAAGAATGCAATTGACCTTAAAAATAGTTTCTTCTTTCTTGATTCGAAATGAATTGTTTTAATTGAAACGAAATGTTCTTAATTTGAATAATTTTTGATTAATGAAATGAATTTTTCTTTTGTAATCAAAACTAAGGGTTTTTTTTTTTTAACGAAAGGAATTGTAAATAATGTTTCGACGAAATAGTTTTTTTTAGAGCGAATTAATTGTAAATAGGATTAATTTTAATAGTTAGTATGTTATCAATAAAATATTTTCGATTATCATTACCATAAAAAAAACAACAAAAAACAAAAAAACAAAAACAAAACAAAACAAAAACGATTGCTTAAAAACTGTAAACTACTTTCCAATTTTATTGTTTACTAGACGTTCATGATTCACGTTCATACCATCCCTTTATTTTAATCTTCCAAAGTGCTAAAATGATAAACTTTGCCGCTACACGTTGATCGTTAAACGTCTTTCCTTCCTTGAGTAAGGGTGTGCGGTAATACACTAGGAGTCAAAATAATCTGAACTTGTTTATCTACTACAATTGCCGGGGACAACTGAATGAATTCAGAGAAGGGCGGAAGGTCTAGTTAAGGCAGGTCTCTGTAAGCCAACTGAATGGTGGTAAGATCTTTAGCCGGCACTGTATTTTCCCGCGAACTATTGTAAGCTCTATTTGTTATGTGCATAGTTCTACCGTTGTTACATTCCATGCCACATCAGATATTAAATAATTTTTTCCATTACATCTACATAAAGTGATCTTCATATAACAAGGTATTTTTGTGTCAGTTGCGCAGAGAAAACCTCATGCTGAACAACTTATGTTTGGCCAATAATTTATGGTGCACATAATTATACCTCTCGTATCATATGCCCGGTTAATCTGCTCTAGGCAGCACAGATCATACCTTTTGGTCCCGGAAGTCCTCGAAGTCCCCGGGGACCCACTCTTCCATCTCTACCGTCCCTACCTGAAGAAAAATAAAAATATGCTAGAACTTTTATATCTTAAAGCTAAGGAAAAACTTGAAACAAAAACGAGTAATTTGTTTTTCAATATTTCTGCAAATCGAGTTGCAAAGCTATGTTGCGCAATTTCCACCCACGTTCAAACCTGTCTCGCAACAAATCAGACTGATTCGTGGGTGGTAATCTCTTGTCCTAAGAAGCTCCTAAGAAGACCGGATGGTAGATTTAATTCTGGTTTTAAGACAAAGTGGTTTCTGACACTTTTGTAGAATCACTGCACGAAAAAAATAGTTTCACACCAAATTTTCTCAGGGCATTAATAAGATGCAAAAAAAGGAAAAAAAAAAAGAAAAAATAAGACGAAATTAAGGGTAAATGTGGTAAATATCGCGTTTGCCAACGAGTTAATATACAACCCCATGTAGACTAGCATGCCAATGCGGTATTTATCATCTTTGCCACTGCTTTCTCCCTAGTTTGTACTTTTTTGCATTATAATTGCGGCGAAAAATTACCACCCTAAGATTTTTAGTACATCCAATAATGTAGCAGATTAATAATTGTTTTCAAAAACTGGAAGACTGATTAAACGTATGAAATCTGCAGCCAACTCACCCGCAGGGCCTGGTTTCCCCGGTGGACCGGGAGGTCCTGGTAATCCATCTCTACCATCTCGACCTGAAATTCAACCGGCACAACAGGGGTGTGTTAATTGTCAAGTGAGGATAACCCTCCAGGTCATCCAGACCTTGTGTTTTCTATGCCTTTAAGTATAAATCTTTTGTTATTTCCTCTTTTTTAATCCCTTTTTAGGGGGCAGGCGAGGGAGGTATTAATGCAGCCGCTCAAACCTTAAAAGAACTGCCACTTTTGCGGGGAATAGAGTTTGGATGCCACCCACTTCTACCTAGTCCATAACCCGCACACATTAGCTGTTAGATTTGGTGATTTCAATTAACCCATGAATCGGTGAGGTTAAAAGGTGGAATGAGTTTACGGAATGGCACGTGGCATGGCTTGCGGAATGACATAATTATGCGGAATTTGATATATGGAAAATAGACTGCGAGGAGTCTCTTATTTTTCTTTGCATCACTGCACGCAAAACCTAATCACGCCAGCGGCGAAGCCGCTTGCCGCGAGAAATATCATCGTGGTTTGCAATCGCGCTTGATGAGATCAAGAACTAGACGGATTTTAAGAGAAAATAATAATAGTAATAATAATAATAATGATAATAATAATAATAATAATAATAATAATAATAATAATAATAATAATAGTCTTATTCAATCAAAGGATAAAAATACATATCCCAAGTTTCAGTGAAAGTGTATTACTAATAGCCCTTTTGAAAGCGGATTTATCTTGCTGTTCTAAAAGATTAAAGATGCTGACTGTTTGAGAGGTTAAATGACGCTTATGGCACCTGTCTAAAAAAACGCTGTATAACATTTAAATCAGAATCAGAAGCGCCATACACAGCGAGACCATATGTGAGAATGGGAAGAACTAGGGTTTTAAACAAGTGATCTATTTCCTTCTGGCTAAAGATCTAGAGTTCCTTTCGTAGAGTTCTGAGAATGTGAAGACACACCGTAATTTTTAGGGAGTTATTATAACTCCAAAAATGGTGTAAAAATTTTAGGTACAGGATAACCCCTTTTTTGGGGTTATTTTAACTCCTAATTTAACTCCGAATTTGGGGTCATTTTTACTCCTGAAAAAGAGTTCTTTTTACTCCCACTCTGGAGTTAAAATTACTCTGAAATGGGGTTATTTGTACTCCTTACATGGGTTGTTTTTACTCTTTTTGGAGTTAATTTAACACTGAAAGTGGAGTAAAAATTTTAGGTACAGGATAACTCCGTTTTTGGGGTTATTTTAACTCCTCAATATCTGGGGTCACTTTTACTCCTGAAAAAGAGTTCTTTAAACTCCTTTTTGGAGTTAAAGTAACTCCACGAAAAATAACTCCACTGTAAGGAGTTAAATTAGCCCCACTAGAGGAGTTATTATAACTCCCAAAAAATTACAGTGCACTTGTTAGCTTTTGTAAGCTTGAGTCTGACGTGCTCAATAAATTCACAATTAGGCTGAAAAGCCAGTCCGAGCAGACAAGGCTATCACATTGAGGAATGTTATTGATGGGAGCGTACTGATGGCGTGTACCGCTACTTTCCTTCTTTCCAAATATCAGTTCTTTACACTTGCTGGGATTACACAACATCTGATTATTTATACTCCAACTGAGAAAATGATTTACCAGGTCTGCTGACGTGTCTGAATCCTTCCATACGGGAGCTACTATAGTAGAGTCGTCAGCATATTTGAAAAGCACGGGCGTGTCATTCATAAAAACTTTCCGGTCATTGAGGAAAACATTAAATAAATATGGACCCCCCACACTTCCTTGTGTGGTCCTGCAAGCACTCTATATTGAAAATGACACAAAGAACTAAACTAAACAGGAAAGCATACGCGGAGAAGCGCGAGCTCGAATACTGGCAATAGAGTTTGCGTGTTTTTTCTCTTTCCCTCTTTCCTTTTTTTTTTTTCTTCCTTCTACTTTCAGCATTTTTTTTTTCCACGATCAAACGCATACACTCACAAACACAAGGGGAGTGCGAAGGGACGCGGAAAGGCAGAAAGGGGACAGAGGCAAGTTCGCTTCACTCGATTTGTGGATTACAGATTAATGTCTGACTAGGGGCGTTCATTTAGTCTCGAATATGATCTGATTCATTCACCGTATTAAAATCCTTAGGATTGTAGCTAGCCCGACTTCACGTTCAGCGAGCTTTCTTTGCCCTTTAGCGTTACGCCCTTGATTTGATTTAAATCAAACTGCAACGAATCTTCTGTGGTCTTGTGGTTAGGATAGGAGACTGCAGACCCAACACTCAGGGATCGAGTTCTGCTTGTATTCATGAATCTTTTTTCCCTTTAAAATTGAAGAGACTTCGCACTTTGACAACATTTGTTGAACAGAAACTAAGTCTCTGAGTCAAGAAACTTAGAAATTTCCTGTAAGTGTAAGTGAAAAGAGAGAGGGCGCTTTGAGATATGGAAACAAGGGGTGCTTACCATCCGAAAGAAAATTTTGGAAATTCCGGATGGAAGGTAAATGGTAAGGTCACTTTTCGGAAATTCCAACCGAAAATTGAGGAGTACGTTTTGAGGTAGTCCTTTCATTCCGGTTGGTACGAACCACACGGAATGTTGCTTACCATTAACCAATTTCTCGGTTCCTTCTCGGTTCCAGACTCACGCTGCCCATTTTCGCCCTTTTTTTGGATTCAAACCGTAACGGATGTGGCATTTCTACGGTAAACTGGTAAATCGCTTACCATTATACTTTCGACACCCCAACAGGACTTTTCTGTCAAATGGTAAGCACCCAAGGGCTTACTTTGACATCCTAGTCGAGCCCGCAACGTCAAAAAAAGCGACTGCTTCACTGGCGCCCAAAAAAGGGCGCAATTGTCATTCCGCAAGCCATGCCACATGCCATTCCTTACCGCCCTTGAATGACGTGTCTGACAAAGTTGATGTTTGGTCGCGCCCATGTAAGTAATTAACATGGAGAGACCATTCCGAGATATTTGGCTCGCTCGTTTAGCTATCATATCGCGGCTAAGAGTCCTTTTCGCAAACACTACATTAATCTTGCCTTAATATTGGGTCCATGTTGCTTTATAAGGATTCCCGACCACAAAATACTCACGAAATACAGCGTAATTACAGTTCTTGAAAAACTAGGTCAGAATTGTGAAAATACTCGTGAATCTTGACAACCAGCGGGCAGGCGTTTCGTCGGGGGCATTAGCGTTTCATCAGAAATCTTTTTGCGTCCCGTACGCAATCAATAATCTCGCTGAGTGTATATTGCACAAAGATCACCGACAACAAACATTCAAAAAATACATTCCAGTTACCTGTGAAACGTGCTACTTTTCACAACTTTTTACAAGTACGATTGGGAAACCAGAAAATTTTAATTGATTGTTCATTTCCGTCCATATCTGTTTTATTTACCTAAAATACTGACTTTGTTCATTGAAATATACGCAAGGATATTTTTACATTTTACAGTTAAAGCACTGACCTCTTAGTAGTCTTGAGAGACAATTTACAGCAACATTCCTGTTGCTGTTGTGGCCACGTAAACTATATGAAGAAGACAAACGCAAACACTTTAAAACAGGCAAATAATTGTAGGACAAATTTATTTAATATTATTTAGAACACAGCTACAAAAATTAACTAAACCGTGACGGTTAGCTTCAGTCTTTCTGGAGCGTTAATTGTCCTTCTTTATGCTCATCGCAGTGAGTGCCTCAAATAATCTAAACCTCGTCTATTAATATGTTTTTTGTTATTTAGCTTGATTTTATCAATTTTTACTGACTGAAGTAAGCGGGGTGATCTATGTCGAAGCATTTTCATTTTCTTTTATATTGATGGGCTGCATACTTCCACCAGCTTCCCAGGCCGCACTATGAGAGCAGATGCTAGTTTCCGTCCATGCAGTATCGAAAGCCAACACAGGCTATCCGAATAATCTCTCGCATGCAGGTTACGATTATGCATACCTGTCTTCCAACACCATTACGCGCTCAGCCAAATCTCGCAGATCAGCGAACCTTTCTTCAGCTACGGACCTTTTTTCTCGCATGACTTCGTTTTCATCCGAAATCGCCTGCTGACTAGCAGTCAGTTTAGAAGATCTTTCAACCGCGATCACCTCCACAAGTTGTTTCAAATTGTCAATGCGGCTATTTAACTGCATGAACTTGTGGTAGTTGTAAAGGCAAACAGAGACCTGAGAGGCGATACATGCTATCAAGCATGTCGCGATGGTTAAATTCAGTAAAAAACGAAAACGCTTTGATTTGGAAAGCTTTGCCTGGCAAATCGCTTTTGCTTCATTTTCCATCTTCCGAAACTATAAGGAGGAATTTCGCCAGGCCCGCACGAAATGGTGCCTATAAAGCAAACTAAAACAAATGGATTAGTTACAAGGCTTTTGAAAACTTTTATGCGCTGATACACGTGACAGAGTCCAGAGTGTACAGGGTGTGGGTAAGTGTCATCATTCCTTTTGCTAAGACTGTTTGTTGTTATTTGGGGCGAAGATTTTTGTTATTTTTGCTCTTTGTGTTCTTTACTTCTTTTTCGTATCGCGAATTTTAGAGCATGCTTAACTTGTGTAAAACCGTACGGGTCAAGAGAACACAGACTGTACAGTCAACGTTTCCCCCAACAAGAACGCCTGCATTCGCATGTCTTGTCCTAAACTGCCCGACGCAATATAGCAAAATTTGTAAACTTCGCAATACACGCAATCATTGTCAACTGGCGTGATATAACTTTGTAAACAACGTGATGATCTTGTAACCATAACTTGTCAAACGATTTGTTTGGACAGCGGTTGACCTTCCGGGAACGCATACCGCACATGCCCATCAATCCAACGTGCAAGTCTGTCAATGCTAACGCATTACTTATTTTAGTCTGAGAGTAATTTAAACGCTTTCCCTGTATGACTATTTCTTGCATTTTTAGCAACTTCACAAGTCATTTTTTTTTTTTTTTTTTTTCGCTTTTAAAATTCCCCCCAAGAAAGTTTTTACGAGTTTCGGGTTAGGAAGTGGTTCGGGAAGATAAACGTTAAAAAAACGTATTTAAAAAATTTTTCCCGTTTTTCCTTTTCAAAATCTTCCTATAGTCTAAGGGGATAAACATCTTGAATTTGTACCAGAAAAACAAAAGTTAAACTAACAATTTGTATTTTTTTTCCGAACCCCCCCTGTACAAATTTAAACGCTTTCCCTGTATGACTATTTCTTGCATTTTTAGCAACTTCACAAGTCATTTTTTTTTTTTTTTTTTTCGCTTTGAAAATGCCAGCCAAGAAAGTTTTAACGAGTGTCGGGTTAGCAGATGCTTCGAGAAGATAAGCGTAGAAGAAACGTATTAATAAATATTTACCGGTCTTACCTTTCAAGAATCTCCTATAGGTCTAAGTGATAGAGCATCTTGACTAGTAACCAGAAGATCATAGGTTAGACTAGCACTCTGATTATTTCTTCCGAGCCACCCGTGTCATTGACTGAATAAACATCTTTAAATCAACACCATCACATTCAGTCTATCATTGCGTGTAAGCACACATCGACATTCTAGTCCTAGCAGTACATGTATGCAGGATGTTTGTCACATGAACCTACGTTTAGTGGCCTTAGCTCCCAAGAATCAGCTCCTCTAGCTTAGTGGTAACCAGAGGATTTGGACTAATAACCAGTAGGTCATATAGGTTCGATTACTATTGGGAGTGCTAGGATTTTTTTTTCCTGCGATTCACCTAGGTCATTGACTAATAATTTTCTTTAAAAATAATTTCCAAGGTCCATACAAAGTAAAGGTACGTATAGTTCCGTATAGTTCCTTATTTTACGCCGATGACCCGTAACAAATTATAGAGACCTTAATTAAGATCGAGGTTTGGTCACTTTACTGCGGCCGTCAAACTGAGGTTTGCGGTTAACGGTTTTACGTTAGCCGTTTGCCCATATTTGGCACTTAAGATTCGCGGGTGGTAGCTCGCGGCTGCCATGTTTGTTTTCATTCATCCACTTACTTCTATTTTAGCTGAGAAATTGTCTTCAAAATTACGTTTTTTGAAACAAAAGTTGATATAACCAATAAGCAAAAGTCGTATTTCTTCTCAAACATGGGATTGTGATGTTTTAGGATGCAAAAAACCTTGCGGTAAATCACTTACCTCTGGAGCGTGGTCTAGCCGTACAAATGTGAACCTCAAACCGCAATCCTGACTTATTGACGTTCGCGGTTCGTGGGAAATGGCGAAAAACCTCAATCTTAAGGTCTCTAATAATCGCACTGGAAAGTCTGAGGCCTACCGTAACGGTGCGCTCGTACATTTTGTTATATAGACACGAGTGTTTTACTTGAAAATATATCACTCGTAAAATTCATAAAAACTACATCCGAGGCCCAAGTGGTTCATTTTCCATAATCTCACCCGTGAGTTTATCGATGACGTAATTTCGGTAATTTCCCTCTATCTTTTTGTCTATATAATAAAAAGAACATTACACGGCGGCTTGAAGATATGAATTTTATTTTCTCGTGGCAAAAACAATATTTTACTCACTCGCTGCCCTCGTTCGTAAAATATTGTTTTGCCACTCGAAAACAAAATTCATATCTTCGTGCCACCGTGTAAAATCCTCTATTTACATTCCATGCTCCATAAATCAGCGTTCCGTTTTACGGATATTTATATACAAGGAACGGGAAAATATAACTCGCTGATACTCAGGCTAAGGAACGGAAAGAAGTCGAAACGCGCATTGGAGGTCACACCTGGAAATGAACTCGGAACCTTAGGCAAAGAAGGCCGAGCCCTAACCAATTGTGCTGATCCTGTTTATTCAGGCCATGCAAACCAAGATGACAATCTCTAATAATTACGTTATGTAATCCAAGACTGATGATGGCTTTATGCAATTCTTTGCTCGGGTTTTAAAGTCATCGTCCATGGCATCCATGGCATGCAAACTGAGCCGGTGTAGTAGAAGTCAGTTTTGGATAGAAGTTCTGGAATAAGACGGGGGTGCTAATTAAGCCACTGTCCCAAAGCCCAAAATAAACAATAGTGTACCACTACCTAATCAAATAGTAAATTTCAGGAGGGTTCAGTTTCTGAATAATTTCCTACTTAGTTTGGGACAATACGGCTGAGTGAACTCTGTACTAGCCTATCATTTGGCAAGGGAGACGTTAAATTGATATCATATATGTTGTAAGGAAACAGAAAGTCCATAATTAAAAAAGACAATGAAAAGTTCAGCTAATGCTTTCACTTTTACTTCATTATTTTGAACTACTTGCAAGCTTCATTTGTACGTGTCCACAAACTAATACAATAAAAAATGAGCTGCATTATGTGTGTAGACTATCTCAAACACTTCTTCTAATCAACAGCGTTTTTTTTTTTAATGCTTGTCAGTTAAGCATGATGAAGAAAGGCCAAGTCCTTCTTTCACTTGGTACACACAGCGCAAGTCAACTCTCGACCTGAAACATATGGACCACACGGCAAATGACTTCCACACATCCCTTCAACAAAGTACAGCAAGGCACCATTCGTGTTCGCCTGGGTTCCAGGGACGTATTCCGCGTTTCTGTCAATACAGACGAATTCCTTTTGACTCTTGTGGGTGTAATGTTCAGTCATCAGGTACCCATGATACTCCTCGGTCCATCCGGATGGACAATCATTTCGTGCGGGTATCATTAGCATTGAGCCACGTGACTCGACATAGCAGACGGCACAAACTGCATTGTGGTCTTGGAGGGTTTTGTCAAAAGGGTTGAACGACAGTTCGTACTCAGTGCCATACATCAATCCTCCGTGCTGAGCGCCATCTTTGTACCGATCGTACTTTGGAACCTTTGGAAGGCAAAGATAGTTCGCTGCGCCTCCAGAGTGAGTGTAATGCTCTCCACCCATGATTCCTAATAAGAAGCAAAAAATAACCATGATTCCAGAACTAACTTCTCCTTAAAAATTCTTTGCGTGAGAATTCGATTTGCAATAGATTATGCCTGATCGAGCAAAGGTAGCAAACGATGTCTGATAAGTTAATTAATTATAAGAGAAAACATGGAGACATGCAAAAAGTAATTTAGATTACTTGGTGCGCGTTCACGGAGAACACATCAGTCTTAAATCCGTTAGCAAACAGAATTGAAGTAACCGATAAAAGCGCAGTTTATTTATCCATCTGAAATAGCCGGTGATGGCCACCAAAAAAATTGAATTGAACTCCTCCGCCTGTACAAAATATCATCCTCATGCTTTATTGGGTCCAGGTCTCCCAAACTAAAAAATTCTAAAACAGACAGCCAAAAAAATACTTTAATCTTAATAAATAATTCAGTATATACTTGTCATACAGAATTTCTTACCACCGCCCTATATAGAAAAGGATATCAATTTATAAGTAAATCACACTCGTAAACCAGACATCATACAAAATTGCTATCTTACGTATGATAAACTAATTCGATGAATTAACTAGATTGAAGTTATAGATGAGTAGACGATCAAATATATGCAGTCGTCCACCCTTACCACTGTACACCGTCGTAGCATCTCCAGAGCACTTGGTTTTTCCCCAGCGAACGTATTTCACCCCAGACAGTCCCTTTCCCTTCTCTCCTGGTGGTCCGGGGGGACCCTGAGGGCCAATAGCTCCAGTGCTACCTACTGGTCCTAATGAACACGAAAAAGATGAATAGTTCTTATGCCTAAATCGTGGAGCCAAAAAGATAAATCTGCGTTAAGAACTCTAAGGGATATTTCATAAATAACGCATTTCACAGCGTTGCTAGCAGGAGGCAAGACAATACTTGACTAGAATCATTTTTACTCAAAATTAGTTGAGAAAATAATTCTTAATTGAAATATATTGGTTTCTCTTTCCAAAGACAAACCTTATGAGGAGTGTTGAAAATATTATTTTCGTTAGCGTTTCTAAAGATTTTCTGAGGGAGCCTGTCACAAGACCTTCCCCGTCAACCGGAAATGAAGACTTTCCCTTTTAATTTTATATGCCTTGACGCTATAAAATGTGTATTACTTAGTTTCTTTACACTTGTAGAGGCAATTTCACTGAAAATTTGGACAAAACCACTGCTCAGGTATGTAAAATGTGCACTTCCTGTTAACGTGGGTCGCTCAAAAAAGCCTTTGCTTAAGTTCCCTACTAGCTCTGCCCAACGGATCATACCTTTTGGTCCCGCGAGTCCTCGAGGTCCCTTAGGACCCTCTCTTCCGTCTCTACCGTCCCTTCCTGGAGGAACAAAAGACGTTTGAAGGGTTATTCAGCATTGAAATAAGCATGGCTATCATATCCTGAATTAAATCTCGTACCCAGTTGATGAAGCCGAAGGTTAGATCTGGTCAAAACCGTTTTGTACACGTGATCGCCTGTCAAGAATGTGCAGACGATGAAAGAGCGCATGGTAGACTTATAAATCCGATTATAACTCCCTAAAATCGCGACCGTTTTTCGACGTGTTAAACAACGAATATGATAGAGCCGTTACTTTTTCTCTAACAAAACGTGGTAGAAAGCACTTCTTAAGTATGAACTAACTAATTTGTTGTTGCAGTTTTTGTTCTATGTAACATCAAATTCAACGTGACAGTCATATGGATCGAGTTGGAAACATATTGTTATTTTTACTTATTATTACAGAACTGGCAAAGCTAATTAACTAACTGTTCAATCTGCAGTTGAAAAATAATAAACTAACCGGCAGGGCCTGATTTCCCAGGTGGACCGGGAGGTCCAGGTAATCCATCTCTTCCATCTCGACCTAAAAATTCAAGCGAAACAAGTATTCAACCTTAGATGCATACAAATAGACGGATCTAGACCTCGCTGCTCAACGTTTCTGCTCAACAAATAAGAAAAGCACAATGCGTTTGCAGACAACTGCTCTTTAAAGGCGCTATTTCACGCTATTTGCTATCTCTTTAAAAGCTAGTAGGACTTTTTTGGCAGCTATTGAATTCTAAAAATAATGGCCCAGGTTTGTTAATTAAGACTACATTGAGGCATTGAAACTGTTTCCTGTCATTTTTCGGTGCGGCTGATAAGGATGGACATGCATGGGCTAATTAACAATTATTTCACCAGTGCGCTTTGGATATGAGGTGGTTAAAAGCCAACGAGGCGCGTAGCACCGAGTTGGCTGTAATCATCTCATATCCAACAATCGCGAGTGGAATAATTGTTTTATTAAAAACGCCCTCAAAAAAAATATCGAGAATTCTTCCAGACTTTATTTGTAAAAAAACCGGATTTTCAGCTTGTTTTTAATTTTGAGCAGACGCGTAGAGTTGGTGCTAAGAAGTCCGTGATCAGTTGTTAGAGAACCTTGATTTTCCCGTACATTTTCAATTCTGTAATTCGACAATATCAAATAAAATTACAGAAAATGTATCGGGAAAATCAAGGTTTTCTAAAACTGATCACGTACTTCTTTGCACTTCAGATTTAGTGTATTATTTCAGTTGAACACGTAAGTTACCCTTTTCAAAGAGAAAGGATCAAATATATGAACTCAGGAAGAATTAGCTGGCTTTGAATTCCAATACAAATCTTTGAGTTTCCCGCCATCTTACCCTGATTACCCAGCATGATGCAACTATGAGCGTGAACTCTTCTATTGTTTTTCACGCTTTCTGTCACGCCATTTTCCACCATGCTTTGATCACGTGCTGTAATGAAGCCCGAGCGGGGTACATTACCTAATGTATCACGATCGGAATACATTTAATTTTAGTCAAGGCCATGTGACCAAGAATCAGCCAATTGCTGTCTCTGTTTAGTTGAGTGAAAGTCTAGGAATATCGCAATGGCTCATATACCATGATGGCTAAGCCAATCAGAGCTCTAGAATTACATTATCCAATGATTCAGTTTTTAATAAAACAGCAACATCCGCGTGATGTATAGCCCCTTTAATACTAAGTATGACAGCAAAAGATGCCAAAAAACGAACAGATGTAACTGTGCGGGGATCATGACAGCCTAGCAAAACCGCTTAAGCCTTGGGGCTTTGACCAAGCGACCACTGACCAACGAGATATTCACAGATAAACCCAAGTGCAGAATGGAATCCCTTTGCCATGTGCAGGTTATAGTAACAGTGAGGGCTTACCTGTAAGCATACCTTACTCAGTAGAAACCTAGCTTTGCGTACCGTCAACTACAATACCAGTAATTTATACGGTACAATAATAAGTTGGTTTCTTGTCAAACTGTTACCTGATCTTAAAGCAATTGCACTCCTATGATTGATTAAGTCCTTAGATTTAACCATATTGGAGGTTCTGAGACTAGGTGACTTCCAGTGCTTAATATCAACCAATGCACAACTGTTTTGACCCACCCTCTACCAAATCAACAGCACCTCTCTTCAAAATACACCCTCCCCCGGCCTTACTCGCTGATAAGTAATAACCCTTGTATTTACTGCTGACCTCGTAATAGAGAACGGCATCTTTCGCCAACCGTTTTGTTGAAGTCATGTAATCTGAAAAAGTCAAATGCAAACATTCTTTAATTTAAAATGGAAAGACAAATTTGTCATTTACCGCCGTGAAACTTACAAGAAACTACTTACTTAATTTATGCACATTTCATATTTACAGAACATTTACAGATGTTTTGTCTCTTTATAAAAATTGATCAACTTAAAGGGGCTATGTCACCCCACACGCATGCGCGAGCCAATGAAAACAAACTTGAAAAAGTCGGCCAGACTTTTTCAAGTTGTGTCGGAGATTTTGGAAGGCTGTTTTCATCTGTCTAAATCTCAGCCATCGTTCGATTGTTAGCGAAGTTTTGTATTAAGAATCGTTCTATGGTGATTACAGAATAATTTTTTGGCGTTATTTTGAACTTGTTTGCCTGTGGAATGTTTTTACGTGGATTTACAGTGTCCTCTTATCAGCGGCCGTTGTAATGGCAGAGTTAATGACGGTTACTCCACAATGAGTGATCGAATCTTTGATGGAATCTTCCCTATAGTTCTCAGAACCTTTCTATTGAGTTATTTTAGAGGCTGCTGGCTCTTGGATTTTTCTTGTGCTCAAAGTATGTGCACATATAATGAAGCGGCTATCGAGTTGGCGGCGGCCGTTTTTTGTAAACGATTACAAGAGCATCAGGCCATGAGTTTCGTGACGAAACTAAACTCCTGGCGAAGGAAACATTAAAAAATTCGGCTAGATTCCTTCTTGTATTTATCTGGATTTACGGCAAAGAAAAACACGACCGTTTGCTGGTCCAGATTGTTCTCAACGGACTTAGAGAGGCACCTTAGTACGAGTTAGATCCTGTAAATGCCATGTTTTTGAACTGTTTGTGTTCGAGCATATAGTTGGAAAATAGCAGAGTTTACTGTTCCTTTTATCAACAGACTGCTTATAGTGGAGTAGTATACCAATGATGCTTGGTTCTGTTTTTCTCGACGTCGCAGTGATTCGGCACGATCGAAAAATTTTGCGCGATAAATGTGTGTTTCCCTAAGATCAAAACAAAGACTTGATGTCTCTTGTTCTCTCAGCATCTAAATTATAAAATCACTAGCGACAGAAAAGTCTAATTGTTAATGATTTGAAACAGTCTTGGTCTTTATCTTCGGTCTAGCGTCTTTTGTACCTCGTTTGTAAAATACAACTTCGATTTATTTGGTTGAATAAGACAATATGTTGTTGTTGAATTTTTGTTTGCGCTCAATTTTTATGAACGGCATGCGTTTTTACTTCAAAACTACAAGTAAAATTGTCGTCACAATTTTATTCTTGATCTAGCATAACCAGAGAAGAAACGTTCCGTAAATTCTATCGAAGAGTATCCCTTATCTAAACCCATTTCGCTTGTTAACCTCTCTAAATTCGGAGCCTTGGACGTGACAGAGAGCATGGAGAAAGTCACGCGTTAAAAACAATAGAATTTTGACAGTTGAAAGTAATTTGCATAACCTCAGAGCGCATGCTCTCTAGCTGACATAGCCCCTTTAAACTCAAGGTTGAACTAGCGTCTATTCTGAATATAGTCTGCCATGATGACATGAAACAAGGGATTACTTAATATGTAAGCTTCTGCTAAGTATTACAGTATAAATCTCTCTCACAGATACACGTTATTTAACTTACTTCTCTTCCAACATCTTTAATCGCTCCACCAGATCTTTCATATTTGTACTACCATTAGTGTCCATTTGTTGAACGGCCCTTTGTTCGAGCATGGCCTTGTTTTCAGCCGGACTTGTTTTCACAATGCCTGTTAGTACCAATATTATCGCGAAGGCTAAAGAAGCACGATTCCAAGGCATAGTCTTGAACCGCTTTTCATAGGACGTTTTCGTTTCATCCCCCATTTTCCGAGACTATAACGAGGTATCTCACCTGTGTGCAGACCTAGTAAATGTGAAATTTGACGGATTATGCAATTCATAGTACATATATTTAACACACAGAGGAAAACCAAACAAACAAACAAACAAACAAACAAACCAATAAGTAACACTGGGACTGCTTTTACCTGTTTTACCACCTATTTTACGAGGTCACACTAGAAATTGCGAAAACATAATATGTTTTTCTTGTTTTTCTCGCTCAATGCAAAATCTCAAAATATACCTCAATAGAATTTTGAGAACTTTACTGCCAATTAGACCTCTTCCGTAAAAAGTGGCAGTTGTAAAAACTAAGAGTACTACCGTTGCTTTTTTTGAGTCATTCTTCTCCTCCTTTCTTCCTCCTCGCTCTTTCTTTTTCTCCTCTTTTAATTTCCTTCGCTGGTTTGATTTTCGAGCTTATTGGGTGCACAAAAAACCCCTGCTTTTTGGACTCTTTTTGCTCAAATTAAGGGCTGCAAATTTCTTTAGGTTCGTTTTCAAACAATCGGCTGGATATGAATGCGGAGTCATTTATTCCCCACATGATTTCAATATTGGAGATCCAAGTTTCGAGATACGTCAGGGCCACTCACATTTCTTGCTTGTTGTTGTTGTTTTTTGTCGTTGTTTCGTTTTTTTATTTTTTATTTTCCAGATGCGACATCCGAGATGACAATGCCTAGTCACCAATTTTCTGTGACATGAGAATTTAAGCAGAGTGATTTGGTAGAAGAAATCAAGTTTCCAAAAGCAGTCTTGGAGTTTTCATCAAATTTCCATGGCCAAGTTTCCCGCCACCGGTCCGGTTTCATCCTCTCAGTATTTACCATTTGATTTAGGCCCCGGCGCGTCCACTCCGGCAAGCAAATCTGCAACTT